GAGAGAGAGAGAGAGAGAGAGAGAGAGAGAGAGAGAGAGAGAGAGGAGGAGGAGGAGGATGGCAGGGGAGAGGAGAGGAGAGGAGAGGAGAGGAGAGGTGTTTCATATGATTATTTTCTCATGATAAACCAGGCTTGACCAAATATTTTTTCTGAACCCACCTATCTTCATATCAGCTCATCTATATTCATTCATTTTCTGGGAATTTGAGCTTTAAAGGTAATAGATGGCTAAATATTGACTCACCACCACCATTCTCTCTGAGGCATTTTCTCCGAGGGTGATGAACAGTTGCAGCCAGGAAGCATTTTTCCTGGGCCTGCCCTCACTTGGTATGCCGGGTAGGTAGTTCTGGGGATCACTCATGCCAAATTTAGTGAGCCTGGTCATGAATGGTCTCTGATGGCAGACATTGAGAAGAGTAATCATCTCTTCATAGAGATGAGCTCCCCCAGACAGGAATATCATGTGGGTTTTGTCAGTGCTTCCTGTGTAAAAGGTCACCATGGTCAGATCCAGTAGACAAGACCCATGTGAGATTCCATGATAGGCAGCATCAAAATTGGCCATCAAGGTTCCTTCCGAGCACTGCTCTGTGGTTCAGCTTCAGATCAAGGACTGGGGACAAGAACAGGTTCCATCGTACATGGGGCCCAGAAGCCCTGTGATATTATTTCTGATACTAGGCCACCAAGGAAGATCGGGAGGGGAGATGGAGCCCCCCCCCCCCCCCCCGGCACCTGGGGCTGGCTATGGAAAGGTTTTATGTGTGGTGCAAAATCAGGCTAGATCTAATGCAGCTCCCAATGGTTCTTCTCAGCTCTTTCTGTGCCTGGCCCTCAATCATCTGTGGGTTGCAGTCCCCAAGGAGAACCAACCTAGGATAATTCGTACCCTGCACTTAACTTTCTCCTAGCAGTGGCTAGGGTGAGGGAGGCTAGGCTTTTCCTAAGTTACCCCCGGAGAGCACAAATCCCCTCCAGATACACAATCCCTATGCTTCAGCGGTCATTGCTGCCCTGCCTTGGTTGCCCCAGGAGAAAGTGCTTAGTCTTTGTCACGTCCTCTCTCCTAGTGGCTTCACATGGTTAAATCCAGGCCTGCATCATTTGCCTTCAGAGTATCTGTGGACTGATGGGGGGATTCCTGGTGAGGTGCATCCTACTCAGGTCCTCACGATGTCCAGCGTGGTGAGGCCAGCTCATGACAGCCTTCACAGTGTAGGCCTGGGTCTCCTGGCTCACCTAGGAATCGGCTCCTTCTTACTTCCTGGGCAGGGTGGTAAGAGAGCAATAACAGGTCCATGGCACTGATCTTGGCATGTTCTGGGACATATGGAGCTAGGGAAGTCCCCTGACAAGGCCTGAGGTGGACAGGGTAGGTCTGGAGGCTAACTCCTCTTCTGGGGGCTTTCAAATGCCGCCTGTCTGATTTTGAGTCTATCTTATTGTGAGTGAATTAATTGTTGTGCAACCTAGAGTGGTGAGACAAGTTAATTACATAATTACCGCAGAATGACATGTTATTTCATGGCTGCAATATGGTAACTCTGTTGGAAACAATTGTAATTGCCCAGAAACTGCATTTGAGTGGCTCCGTTATCTCTCCATAACCATGTAATTAACTTGTGTTACAACTTTATCTACAGCAAAGTCTGAAGTTAGGAGTCAGGCCTTTGGGGCAGGTACCCTAGACCTTAAGGGCCCAGAGAGGGTCTGGTGTAGAGGACTGTGCTACAATCTAGGAAAGTAATCTGCATTTTCAAGCTGAGGGAGAAAACTGTTCATTGTGCACTGCAATCCTTCCATCTCTGCATATACTCAACCTCATTCCCAGTCCACTATCAATCACACAGTCAGCACCCCAACACATCCAACACACATCACACACACACAAACACCCCCAGGCTCTCCTTTTCCGCCTCCCTTTTCTCACACATGCATGGGGATAGCTCCTTCCCAGAGAATTCCTACACCACGATCTTTGCTTCTACCCATTCCTTCCCCTGGCCACAAAACCAGGACTTAGAGAAGGAGTTTCTTCCAGGCACCTGAGAGCCTCGTCTCCATACTTCTGAATGGAGGGGTGGGGCTGATGCAGAGCTATGGGAGGGGCAGCCATAGCTGGAGGCCAGAGCCAGGCTCCTTCAGCAGTGGGCTCGGGGCCATGGCCAGGTAGAGAACAGGCCCTGAGGAAGAGAAGCAAGGGTCTGGGTGGAGAGCCTGCCCACACAGCCTTCCCTGCCGCCCAGAGTCTGCTCTGCTCCCTTCCAGGCACTGTGCCCGGCACAGTGACATTATCCCTGCTACTCTGGGTGAGCCCAGCTCAGCCAGGCAGATAGAAACGCCACACTGTCTGCCTGTCTGCTGCAGGTCCTGCTGTCTTCTGGCCTGGGCCGTCTGCCTGCTGGCTCGCCGGCCTGTCTCTTCTGCCTGTCCGCACATGTGTCTGTCTGACAGTATGTCCATTAGCTCCTCGGTCTCCGACTCGCAAGAATCATCACAGCCTGCGTCTGCTGCAGGGGATGGGCGCGTCGCAGGTCTCCCCAGCAGCATTCTGTCTTCCCTGGTGTGCTCTGTCGGTTTCCCTGGCCTACTTCTCCCTCCCTCTACTGAGGCTGCAGCCTTCCAGGTCCCTGGCAGACTGCTGGAGAGCAGGGACTGTGTCTCATCAATGATTCAACCTCGTGCCTGATTCCTTTGGGGTTAACTCCCATAGAGGCATAAGGCTAAGACTTGGCGTAGACAGAGGGCTGCTGAGTGACTGTCTCCAGCCTGCATAAAAAAGCTGAAGGGAAACAGAATTGTTCTTAATTGACGAACAAGACTCTAGGCTCCAAGTCAGTCACTGTGAAAGGGACGGTGGTTAGGAGGGTACTGTCACACTATGGGGCTTGGGACTTGGGGCTCTACTGTGAAGCAGGGCAGAACTGGGTTCCCATCGGGTCACTTTGCTAGGGATTCCAGTGAGGCAGGGGTAGGCTAAAAGAAAATGAAGCATCACGCTACCCCTCTTCTTAGGGCTCTGCATAGCACCAGGATGCACGCTTTGTAGGAGGCGGAGGGATACCCCAGTTCTCATCTGTGGCTAGGGCACTCTAAGTTATTCTCTTCCTTCTGATCCCAAGTCAAGCTTGTTCCCCCTGCTTGGCAACAGCATATGCTGGAGTCTGCTTCCCCATGCCCTACCCACCAGAGGCAGAAGGTGAGGAGATGCAGCTCTGTCAGTCATGTGAACAACGCAGAGTCGTGTCCCCGGAAACATTCATAAGTTTAATCCACGCCAGTAATAAAATCGCATTACATTTCTCATAAAATAAATGTTCCCATTTATATACAGACGACAGACTGTACAGGCCAAGCCTGGCCCCAGGAGGGCCCACAGAAACGGGTGGTGGTGGTGGAGAAAAGCCACCTTCCCACTGATGATGAAGTTCTAACTTGTAGGACAGCGGCTGGCCAGCTCGCGCAGGCGGAGTGGCTGGCCACCCTGCCAGGCAGGTGGTCAGACGGGCAGACGGACAGATGGACCTGGAGGCCAGATGCAGGGCGTTACTGAACCTGGGATTCGAAGGTGCCATTGAGCTGCCCCTCCTCATAGTCCATCTGACACAAGATCATGTTGTTCTTCAGGAAGAATTTGTCTCCCACACAAAATCTAGAAAAATCCAAGCAAGAGAAAAAGAAGCTATAGGTGAAGTCCCAGTAAAAGAGGATGTCCCAGCCTGGCCCAGGAGGTGGGACATGCAGGGGAGGTGGTGCTGCTGAGCTAGCTCCAGGAACCTTCCAGAAACATAGAAGAAATGTCACAGCAAGCCTGATCAGTTACTCACAGCAGACCCCTGCAGCCTGGGGTGGCGGAACAGACAGTCAAGCCACAGGCCTCCCACCATCAGGTCATTCAGGGAGGTGCAGGGGGAGTTCAGATAACTCAGCCCAATCCCAGAGAAGGTACAAGAGGGACCAGAAGTAGACGGAGAGGAGAGGGATGGAGAATGGGAGATAAGAGGAAGTGGAGAGGGAGATGAAATGGTTGTTTCCATCCCTTTGCTTTCCCAGCTTAGGGCTTGCATCCTCTAAAGAAAGTGTGATCCCGACTCACAATTTATTCTCCAACCCAAAGGAGATCACACTTGGGTCTCTTCGTCCTCTGGAAGTATTGAGGGATTTCAAGCTTCCCCTCAAAGGTATCTCCTGGTGGCTGAGACTTTAAGCCCCAGGGTCACTGACTCAGTCCCAGCATCGGATCTCAGTCCAACCACCAGGTGGCGATGGAACTTCACCGAGCCCGGCTAGTAGGAAGTCTGGCCAGAGCACCCAGGCAGCCTAGCCTCGTTCCCTGCACTCAACCTGGGAACATTTGTATGAATTCCTACCCGACCTGAAGGCTCCTGGGAAGATGTCCTGCTTTTTGGTGGTGGGTTCCAAGTCAGAGGTAAAGGCCTTAAATCCCTCAAGGCTTCCCCCAGGACTGGGATAGTGGGTGGGACGTGGGACTCCCACCCCCACCCCCCAAAAAAAATCACAAGAGAGGACTAGAACCAGATTCACAGGAGTGGAGTGAGGAGGGAGTGATATTCCCTGAAGAGATCTCTCACCCCGTGGGCCTGGAAACCCTTTCTCACTAGACAGGACACAAAAACATATGCACACAGATACAGGATAGTACACACATGTTTAAAACATGTGCATAAACAGCCTCATCTCATCACATACATGCAGTATGCACACACTCTTGTGCATGAACAATTACAATCATATACACAACTGCACACCAATCCCAAGCACTAGTATCCGTGTATACACAAACATTTAAAATAAATACACAAGCACATATACACTGGACATGGTGGCCTACTCCAACAATCCCAGCACTCCTAGAACTGGGGAGGTAGAAGCAGGAGAATCAAGAGTTCAAAGTCATCCATTGCAAGTTGGAGGTTAGCCTGGCCTACATATGAGACCCTTTCTCCAAACAAAAATAATAGAGGTTAGGTTGGAAATGGAGCTCAGTTGGTAGAGTGCTTGCCTAGCATGCTCACAAGTGGGTTCAATCCCCAGAAATTAGTACACCCGGCATGGTAATACATGCCTGTAATTTCAGCACTCAGGAGGTAGAGGCAGGAGTTTAAGGTCAACCATGGCTACAGACAAGTTTGAGGGTGGCTTGGGATACATGAGACCCTAAGAAAACAAACCTCTCCCCTAAATGTATACATACTCAATATACATAGTGTGAAAACATACACATACCCCATCATTAAATTCATACAGAAAGTTACCACCCATATATGTATACCAGTACTGGAGTGTACACATCTGAGGGTGTAGATACACACACACACACACACACACACACACACACACACACACACACACACACACACGGCATACTCAACTACATACACAAAGGAAGTCACACTTGCATGCATGCCTCTTCAGCACTCCTAGCCCAACCAGCAGGCCTCTGGCTAGGGTCTGGGAAGTGTGTTGGGTTGGCTGATGGTCTGGCACTCACCTCTGATTGCAGAGCTGGCAGGCGAAGCAGTCAAGGTGATACACATTGTCTCGGGCTCGCATCACCATCTCGAAAGCGGGGATCAGCTTGCTGCAGGCAGCACAGTTTCCCGTGGTGCCAAAAAGCCTGCCGGGGGAAGGGCACAGAGGATTCAAGGGCCTGCCAAGGAGCTGCCTCCACCCAGGGGTCTGCCCTTTCCCTAGCTCCTGGGATAGCAGATGAGCCTAGTCAAGAACTAACTACCATATCAAGATCCTGCTAGATTAAGATTCAAAAAACTGGCATCTCACTTCCCAGGGAGGCTAGGTAACTTACAGCCTGGTGTTAGCAGACACCATCCCCCACACCCATTTCAGGTTTCCACCAGAGTCACTCAAAGCTGACCCCCAAAGCAAAGACTCCAGACCCACACAAGCCTAGATTTCAGAGGCAATCCGCCCATCATGGGCTGTGTACCCTCAGACAGTCACTTGGAACCTTCCAGAGCACCAGTTATCCTGACTGTCAGAATAAAACGTATCGCTCACAGGACTATGCACTTAGCAATGCCTAACCTTAACCCTAACTGAACTTGTGGCTCAGGGACATGCTAAGAGCTTACTTTAAAAAAAAAGAAAGAAAGAAAAATCACCTCATTTGATCCCAATACAGCCCTCTGAGGTCAACACTTGTGTCATCCCCATTCAAGATAAGAGTGAGTCACAGAGAGATAAACTACTCACTAGGGCCACATGCCTGGCTCCTCTGGGAGAGTGATCTATGCCACTGACTTCTTGCTTTTAAGATTATGGTGCTTTCTGGGCCTGTAGCTCAGTTAGACTGCTTGCCTAGCATGCAAGAAGCCCTGGGTTCCATCCCCAGAACCACACGTGGTCATCCATGTCTATAACCCCAGCACTCAGGAGGTAGAGGCAGGAGGAACAGGAACTGAAGGAAATCCATGTCTATCCAGGGAGTTGGAGGCCAGCCTAGCTTACTCGCCTCAAATTGAAGATAAAATTACAGTCTTTTATGAAATCGTTTTCTGCTGTCATCTCACTGTGTCACTCACCTATGTCTCCTTTTCCTTCTTGGAACCTCAGTTTATCTTTTTGTAAAATGAGGCTGTTAGACCAGCACAGCCTGCCTAAGGATGCTTCTCACCCAGAACTGGTCCCCAAAGCAAGTTCCAAGGGAAGCTGGCACAATGGTCTCTTTGAGAGGGCTTCCCTCCTCTCAGCTGCTGGCTGCAGAACTCTGGGGACACGGGGACAGGAAGTTCACTCCCTTCCCATTCATGGCAATTCTTGGTTGGGTGCTCTAATGGTCTGAGCAAACCAAGCTCCTCCTTGCTTCCTTTTTGCTGAGCAAGCTCCAAATGGTGCAAGGGGGCCGAGAGGCGGGCGGTGGGGCCCTCTAATCCCTGATTTGTCGATGCAGGCTCAGGCACCTGCAGACCAGCTTGGCTCCATTATTCATTGGCCTGAGCTGCCTGGTGGCTCAGATAAAGGCAGACAAAGGCTGGGCCACACCATCTGCCTGCCAATGGGGGCCTTTTCCGCCACCAGCAGTTGTTGCAAAGGGCCAGGCTCTGGGCAGCCCCCCCTCCCTAACTCACTGGCCTACCTGGCTCCACTCCTCACCTCTACCAGAGCACAGGAAAAAGAGCTTCCAGCGCCTATGATTCCAGGGCCCAGAATGCTGTGGGTGCCTTGGAGTTCCCGACAAGCCCACACTACACCATGGTGCTCCTCCCTGTCCTGACGGCAGGCCGTCAATTGTACAGTCACCTCTCCCTAGCCTGTTAATTCAAGGACCCAGGTAGATGTCCCAGACCTCCAGACTTGAAACCCCTCCCCTTCCATGCCCTTGGGTGTTGACTTCCCAAGGGTATCCTTAACCCTTCCTCCCAGCCTCAGTTCCTCTCTCCGCCCTAGAAGCACTAAACACCATCACTTTAAAAAAAAAAAAAAAAATCTGTTGCTGAAACTAAAGAGAACAATTGAAAGGAAAAGTGCAGACAGGTAAATCTCAGGCTCTCAGGGGAAGGTGGGAGTGAATTTCCAGATAACCCTGCCCCCTCCGACTTGTCCCAACTTGAGCATGAGTCCCACCAGCTCTCACCCCATCCTGCTAATTAATGTGATGGGCCTTCCTTCCCCACAAGGCTGCCCAGCCACCATCCAGCAGCTAGTGACAGAGCCAAATGCAGGTGCTGGGTCTCAGCCAAGGCCCCTGCTTCATGGCCTCCTTCCAGCCCTGCTGATGTCATAAATGGCCCAAGGGAGGGTTAATTGGGGAAGGCAGCCCCAGGGGATTGGGATCCAGGTTGTGGCAGAGGGACAAAAGCTCTGAAGAATGCTAGGTGGGGTGTAGGGGGTCCAAACAGAGAAAAGGTTCAAAGCTAAAGGCTCAGGGCTGGTTCAAACCCAGGTCTTTAAAAGGCATTGGCAGTCCTTGTCCTAGGCCATGGCTCCCTGCCAACCAAGGCAAATGAGAGCCTAATCCCAGCACACCTGGAAAGGCCGACTCTGGGGAGAGGTGGGCAGGAGACTCCAGCAGGGAGAAAGGCCCAGGCAAGTCTGGGCTATTTCATCTGCTCCTCCAGGCCCCTTTGAGGTCTCCCTCCTAGATACCCATAGGAGATAGGTAAGGCTGAAGCCAGGCTGGTACCCATGGGAAGTCTATCTTGGTGTCCAATTGCTACGAGTGCCTGCTTGGATAGTGTGGGGCCAAGTCTAAGGAGTTAAAGACATAAGCTTGCTCTAGGGTGCCTCACAGGGCTGACATGAGGCCACAGTGAGTAAGGTGTAGTCACATGGCTGTGCATGCACGTTGCCTGGTTTAGAGCCTGGGGCCAAGTTGCACCAGCCTGGAAAGATGGGGGCTGTGTGTGTGTGTGTGAGGTGGGCAGAGCAGCAGAACCCACCTCAGGTAGTCACGCCGGCACAGGATGAGGTTGGCCTTGGTGTAGAGAGTGGAGCCCACCTCGCCCAGGCGGCAGTCGCAGCAGGCACACTTGAGGCAGTCCTCATGCCAGTACTTGTCCAGCGCCTTCAGCAGGTACCTGTCCTTGATCTTGCGGTTGCAGCCCGCGCAGCCCTTCTGCTTCCCTTTTGGTTGGACGGAGAGCATCGGCACACCTGTGATAGGGAAACAGACAAATGGGCACGGGGCTGACCTGGAGCTCTGGGGCACACCCTTTTCCAGGGAACCGGGCAGGGGGTGGGGGTATGTCTTTTTCTCTACCGCTTCTTCTAAGTAGAGGCTCCCAGGAGCCCTCACTTTCTACTTCCTCCCCAGGCCCCAAGTCTGGCCTTTGGGCAACATACCAGGCCTTTGTCCTGTCTAGACCCCTCCAGAGGTCCAGAGGCTGCTGGCCTTGCTGGGCCCTTCCATTCCCAGCCACTGTCCCCTGTGTGATCAGAGCTGATCCAGGCAGACTCATGTCCTCCTAACACAGCCAAAGCTGGCCACACTAGATCTAAGAATGAGCTCCACTAAGATTCCCACCGTCACTCTTTCTTGAAGTGCAGCCGTCACTGTGCATTGGACCATTTCAACCTCCATCCACAGGTACAGAAGAGTAGTATTGGAAAGAAAGTGGGAGGCTCAGGGTGGCAGCTGAGAGGGTGTGTGGCTGCCCTCAGGAATGCTTTGGTCAAAGTCAAAGCTCCATCTGGCCTTGTCTGAGGGAGGGAGGGAGGGAGGGAGGGAGGGAGGGAGGGAGGGAGGGAGGGAGGGAGGGGAGGGGTGCAGGCTCCAGAGCCTCTGAAGCCTGGTTCAATCTCCCAGTTTAGGAATCTCGCTCCACCACCTCCCTGTGCAAGCATCTCACCATGTAAGGAGCAACAAGTACCAGGCAAGACTCAATGTGCAGTCACTGAGGGCCAAGCCTGCAAGTAGGTGAGCATGAACACTCACACACACCCTTGTTACACAGCATGATGTGCAAGTGTGGACACAGGTGAGTACACAGTCACATCTGCGTGGTCCCTTCCCCCAGAACCACAGGGAAGGGCAGCCAAGGAGGAAATGGGGGCACACAGTGTCCAGGCGTGAGCATCAGAGACCTCAGAAACCAAATGTATGATTTCCCAAGGAGGGCTGCTGGAGAACAAGCCTAAGAGAGCAGAGAGTGGGTTAGAGTCAGATATATCCATGACCAAGGCATAGCAAAGCACACCCTTCCAACAGGCCAGCTACCAACAGGCCCAGGTCTGTTTCCATTGGCCTTATCCTGTCCCAAAGACCTATGTTCTTCCCAGGGGTATCATTCAGTTCCATCCCTGGGCATCTCTGCCATGCACAGCCTGGACTCTGTGCCCACCCACAGGCCCAGCTGCTGAGCCACAGCCTCATTTTCCCTTTCCCTCTTCAAGAAGGAATATGGCCTCTAACTTCAGGGGAGAATCTGCCACCTAGAGACCTTAGATTCCTAGATGTCAGGCCAGAATCCCCTCAGTTGTCCAGGCAAACGCTCTCCCCTCCAGACAGGGAAACCGAAGCTCAGGTAGTGAGAGGGACGACTGTAAACCACTGATGGAGATAGCTTCCGAATTTGTTCCTCTCCTGTGCTTTCTCAACCAGGCCACCCCCTCTGACTTCAATTGGAGAGGAGGATCGGCCCTCGGTCAGGGAAGCCCTCTCTTCAGGAAGAGAGCTCAGATCCATGGCAGCACAGGACCAAAAGGACAGGTGAGGGCATGGAGGAGGAGGCCCCGCAGTTGTCCCCGGCAGGCAGAGGGTGACCCCCTTTAGCCCACTCTCCTTCAGTCATCGTAGGACCATCTGTTAGCTGGGAAGTTCACCACCCAATTTCCTTAATGCAGCTCTAAAGGTTAATTGGTCTGAATGAGAGATAGTATTCAGGATGATGGCTGTCTCAGGGTCAGCCTGTGTCTCCTCTGACAGAGCCCAGCTCTGCCCATGTAGCAGACCTAGGACAAGTTCCTTCTAAGGCCTGGCCTACAGGGAGGGATGAAGTGTAGGAGACTAGGGGGAGGCCTGGGGCTCCAAGGATGGGAAGACTGTCCCTGGGGCCTGTGGAGGGGCACAGTAGTGTTGTTCATATGAATACTAACTCAGATCTTAAGGTAGGACCATTAGAGCCTCAACAAGACTACTGTCCTTCTCATTCACCTGGCATGTAGCAGGCTTGGCCCCTCCGGAGCTCTGTACTTGGGTGACTACCAGTAGGTGGGTGAGTAATGGGGAAAGCATCTATCCCACTAAGTTATACTCCTAAATGAAAAGGGACAGTGGAGACCCCAACTCTAAGGTATCCATGCCAGCCCTTCTTCTGCCTGTCAGCTGGCATTCATTCCAAGCCTGGGTTTCAGCATGCCTGGCCACACTTGCAGGCCCAATGGAAGCCACAAGGAATGAAACCACAGGCTGCTCCTACATCCCCTACATCTCCATCCTACCTGTGCCCAAGCTAGAGCTGCCACACACAGGTCACCTAAGAAGCCTGTGCAAGGATCCAGGACAGTGCAAATGAACTCTGATCGCTGGGCTCTGCATAACTTACAAAAGTGGAAAGCCTGCTAAAGAGTCCCGTGACCCAGACTCTGGATACCAAGTCCAAATGCTAGGAAGGCTGAGGTCTTGGGAGAGGCCTATCCCAGCATGTGCCTGTGGGTGGACCTGGATCCAAAGCTTGTGGCCATGTGGTCCAAAGGAGATGGTCTGGCCTCTGAGCCTTAGTTTCCTCATCTGCCTAGTAAGTTAAATGGAAATAAGCCCTTGCTTCCCATTGGAGTGGTTTTGGCTCTGCAGAGCCAGGCTAGGAGAGGTAAAACACCTCCCCGGGAAGGAAAGGGGCTTTAAGGGGTGTATTTACAACCTCCTGATCCCCAAATGAGGCCTGGGCTCCCACTCCTGTCTCCCCAGCCCCCTCTAGCCTGCCAGCCAGCCAGCCCCCTGCAGACCCTCCTGCCCCTCCTCTGCTGGCTCTGGGAGCAGAGCCTCGGGCCATGCACTTTCCATTAGGGAGATAGCAGCCCTCTGCTGAAGTCCATTTGGGATCCATTTTAGTGTTATCTAAAAATCAAATCTACATGGTAATCCTTTTAACGTACTCCCGACTTCAGGGGGAAAAAAAAAAAACAGCTTTGCACTCCTTCAGGAAAGGTTTTAAAGCATTACCCAATAATTACTACTCACGCATGAAAACACCCATCTTTAACAATGGAGGCTGCTTGTGCCCACACACATGCCCAGGCACATGCTCAGGTACACACACTGGGCAGGGCAAAATAATCAGTTCACTTAGCCCATGTGTCACCCTCGGTCTCAGGGTATAGCGGGAATGGTGTTTGAAGGGAAACAGGCTGAACTCCAGTCTTTCTCTGTCCCAAGGAGGCAGGCAGCAGGGCCGATGAAGGAGGTGGCCAGGCTGTGGGAGAAGTCTTCCAGGTGAAGTTTCTAGGTCCCACTCGTCAGCAGTGAGTTACTACCTAACAGGTCTGTGCAAGGCGCCAGGACTGTACAAACTGATTCCTGGGCTCTGCAGAACTCTTACATTTACCCTCAGCTCTGCAATGTGGGGCAAAGTCAGACACCCCCCAGTGATGAGGTGGGACTGACAGAGGCCATCAGTCCTTCCCCACGACCTTTCCCTTCACCCTGGAGAGAGGATCTCTGCATAAGAAGCTGTCTACCAACCAGACCCTACAGCCTCGGCAGCTCCGACCTATGCGGCCCCACCCAGGCTGCTCATCTCCTCCAAATAGCAAAGCCTGTGGGCTCCACTGTGGACAGGTCTGAGTCACAGGAGAGCACCCTCCCCACCCCAGCTACCTTCTGCAAGGCCAGTTTTCCACCCTAGTGTGTCTACTTCACCCCACTGCAGGTCACTGCTGGTCACACGTCAGGTATGCCCCCTACTGGATGGCACTACTACTACCTGGGGATAGAGACTGCAGAGGCCAGCCCAGCATATCCTGCAGCTCCTGGCAGAATCCTGGTATCCTTCTCATTCTAGCCTCACCAGGGACCTTGCTTCATTTCTGCCCCAAGGGTAGTGCTCACCACTGCTCTGGGAGAAATGCCATTGTCCAGGCTATGTTCTCTGTCCCCTAAAGGGCAGAGTCAACCATGGGCCCTAGGCTGTGGGGTAGGAGTGTACACCTTTGGGGAGCTAGAGGCCTGGAGCAGCCCCTCCTTCCTGACCTGCACCTGTGGCATGGAGCCATGAATTCTCATTGTTTGCAGACTATGGGTCAAGATGAGGGTAGGAACCTGAGGCCATAGCCCAAAGGCTGGAATAAGTAAGGGACAATATACACTCTATTTGGGTGCTATTCCTTTGGGTATTTGTTTCTTTTAAACTTTTTATCATTTTGAGATATATATATATATATATATATATATATATATATATATATATATATATATATATATATATGTTCTCCTGGCTGTCCTGGAACAGACTCTGTAGACCAGTCTGGCCTCGAACTCACAGAGATCCACCTGCCTGAGTGCTGGGGTTAAAGATGTGCACCACTACCACCCATTTAAGATTAATCTTAATTTTGTATCTGTGTGTGGGTGTGTGCATGTGAGTGCAAGTGCCTGTAGAGGCCAGGGGCATTGGATCCCCTGGAGCCAGAGTTCCAGGAAGTTGTGAGCCACTTGACATGGGTACTAGGATGAGAGCAAGCCATGAGGAGCAAGCCAGTAAGCAGCACCCCTCCATGGCCTCTCTACCAGCTCTTGTCTCTGGGTTCCTGCTCTGTTTGAGCTCCTGTCCTGACCTCCTCCCCTGATGAAGAGTGATGTGGACATGTAAGCCAAATAAACCCTTTCCTCCCCAAGTTGCTTTGGTCATGGTGTTCATCACAGCAATAGTAACCCTAGCTAAGACACTCATTCACTTGAACCTAGAGGAATTCCTAGGCATCTGAAGATATCCGCACTTCTGAGGCAGAAAAGCCAGCTGTTTCTGGAATATCCCTGATCTGGATTTATTTGATACTTTTTCATTAACCCTGGGCCTTAGTTTTCCTTTTTAAAATGGGTATGAAAACAATACTCTTGCTGGATGTGGTGGTGCACGCCTTTAATCCCAGCACCTGGGAGGCAGAGACAGGTAGATCTCTTTTCTTTTTTCTTTTCTTTTTTTTTTTTTTTTTTTGAGGCCAGCCAGGTCTACACAGTAAGTTCCAGGATAGCCGGGACTGTGAGGACTATGTAGTGAAACCCTGTTTTAAAAACAAAACAAACAAACAAAACAACGAAAAGAAAGAAAGAAAAGAAAATAACACTCATCTCAGAGAGCCCCCGTGAGTTATAAAGGAGTCTTTAGGACTAGCTGGGCCTGAATGTCAAGCTGGAGGAGTGTCACTGACTCAGCACACTGGAAAGTTCAGTCACAGCCCCACCTCTGGGTCCCACAACAGAGACAGGTACTTCCTTTGCAGAGCAGAAATCAAATGTGAACTTGCCCCTGTGGTTAGAGTCACATGGGCCCCGGCCAGATTTCAGTGTCATCCGGAGGCCAGTCCAGTAGTCAGTATGAGCATGTCAAGGAGGAAGCTGGCCCCATTTGTTTGCCCAAAAGGCAGCTCCAGTGGCCAGCTGAGTAGGAAAGGCTGGCTGTAGGAAGGCCCCTCAAGATTCTGAGCAGTGTTCTGGGGGCCCAGGCATGAATAACCTTGGTATCTCTCAGAATCCCTTAATGGACCTCTGTGTTAGTTCCAGAAGGAGGAGACATAGTTGTAGGCCCTGCCCAGAGCCTCATAGCACAGTATGGATGCCTGGTACCTCCCAGGGCTCCCCTTTCTCACCAGGAGCGCCCCGACTCATGGGATAAGCAGGGACCCTGGGTTGGGAAGTCTGACCTAACACCCTAAGGGTTTTACTGACTGCTAAGTTAAGGGCTGCCATTCTAACTGGCAAAGTGAGGTGTAAGAAAGGTTCCCACTTGTCCATAAATAGGTGAGAGAGCTGGAGTTTGAACCTTGGCAGTCCGTCCCTAGGGCCCAAGTCCCCTGATCCAAGGCAGGGCTGTATGATGAGGTGCTAAGGAGACTCCCTCAGGAGACCTCATGACAATCGGAGGACACTGGAAAGTATGGAGATGCACTCGGTCATAGGACACATGGGCAGAGCACACACATACTCCTCCACTGGCATGGAATCGCACAGGCCCACGAGGGCCACACAAGAAGGAGCTGTGTCTGTTTTCTTCTCCCCACATTAGCTTGGAACTGACACCCACCAGGTGTTCAGTAACGCACGTGAAAACACATTCGTGCGTGCCAGGGTGCACACGCCTGGCTGGGTCTACACACATGTTGGTATGCTGATGTAAACAGACACTGAGGCACAGGTGCACACAGACATGGGCTGTCACAGCCGTCACTCTTAAAACAAACGCTGATTTGAACAAAACCTGACACCTTAGAGACAGAAGGAAGCGGAAGTCGCCTGAATCCTGGTCGAGTATGAGCGCCTCCCGCGGTCGGTCAGCCCTGGCATCCTCTCTCCCTTCCACTGCTGATGGGGGCCTCGGAAGCTTCATAGATCAGGGGTCTTGCCATGCGCCGGGGCCCATCCCAGATGTGGGGTTGCGGAGAAGTACCCCAGCGGAGCCCATCTCTGCCCCCCCCCCCCCAGGCGTCAAACCCCTTGAATAAGGAAATTTGAAAGTGTCATCTAATTTTGCCGCATCTCTCTCAATCTCGTCCTCTCAGAAGTAACTCTATTCTGCACGGGCCCGTGCAGCTTGCGAGAAGGCTTCCATTTCACACCGGTTTTATCTCCACAATTTCTCGTCTCACTGCACTCCGATCCCGGGCCCTGGCACGTGGCGGGCGAGGCCTGAACGAACAGCATTTCCTACTCATTTGGAATCAAAAGCCAAGGAGAACAACTGTTGGAACCCAGGGCCATGGTCACCTAGTCCACACTCATTACTGACCTCTCTGCGAGTCCACTGGCAGCAAGGTGTTTACTAGGTCAGGTAAGGGAGGAAAAGGAAGGCTGGGAGGTGGGGCTTGACTGATGAAGGGGTGGTCAGCTCAGGGGAGGGACTGACACCCTTGCCTCTGAAGTCAGGGAAGGTGGGTAGGAGTAGACATCTGAAGACACACAGACAGCCTCAGCTGGAACTCTGGTTCTGTCATTTTCCAGTCTTGCCCCCAGTTACTCATTTACTAAATGAGGATAGATTGTGCTAAATGATTATTTTGAAGATTAATTTAGATCATAGCCCTGAAGTACTTAGCACAAAGTTTGGCACAAGAGCTAAGACAATCAGCTAAGGGAATGCATGTCTATGCTATGATCCAGCAACTCTATTTCTAGGTTCTGGCGAAGAGGAGGGGGGTAGGGGTGAGAACTTGGGGGGTTCCTATCCAGGGCGACAGGAGTGGCGGGGGAGGCTCAACACATGGCTGGGGGCCTGTGTGGATGATGGGTGGGGGCCCTGGAGGGTTCCGGAGGGGGGGCCTGGCACAGGGCAAGACACTGAAATGTAGTCCTATAACACGCACCTTCTCTACATTGCCAAGTTTCTTCGGGCAGTATGCAAGAGAAAGGACCGCCTGGTAGCCACCCTAGCACCTGCTGCTGGTGTCACCCCACACAGATGGCTGGCAACTCTCCACATCACCCCTTCCTGAGAGCTGCAGTTTATTCATTGTGAGCCATTCGCCCCAAGGGAAACCTGGGAGTGACCAAGGATGCCACGAAGACTGGCTACTGTCAGGATGCACCCATGCCCAGCCTCCTCTACCCTGGGACCATGGGTGGCATCACACTGTCTTTTTCCTGAACAATGGGGAAAAGTGAACTTTTCTTGGACCCCATGTGAATGCTGCTAAGGGAGAAAGCTCTGGAGCACGCGGCAGGGACAGCTAAGAGGACGGGCGGGCTGCTTGGGGGCCGAGCGCTGGCTCTGGTTCAGCAGGGTGGAGAGCGATTTCCAGCAGAGTAGTAAGAAGCAGGAGGCACTTCTGCGGTGGGCTTTGGGGGCGGCCAACTGCCCTTAGCATCTTGCATCTACACCCTGAAACCACTGTGACCTTGGTATGTCTAGAGATGGAAAGGGCTGAGGCCAGGGTTGGGGGAGAAAGCTGGACCCTGCACAGCCCGGAGACAACAGCCTTGTAGACTAGTCTTCATCCACCTGGGGTACCTCTGACAGAACAGTGGTGGACTGTAAAGCAACAGATTAATTTTCCCCGTCTAGGGCCTGGGAGGGTCGAGGCCTAGGCACTGGCTCATCCACTGTCTGATGAGGGCCTGCCTCCTGGCTCATGGACAGTTGTCTTCCCAGTGTTCTTCACACAGCAGAAGGGATGAGGGAGCTCTCTAGGGTCCCATGCATGAGGACACCAATCCCATTCATGAGGTTCTGCCCTCAAGGGCCCCAACTCCTAACAGTACTAGTGGGGAGCTTGGGGTTAAATTCAGAGAGTCAGAGGAGACACATTTCCAGGAGCCAGCTGAGAACTTGTAGAAGGACCAGGAGGAGGAAACACCCAAGACTCTCGGGCAGCTTCATGGGCTGACTTCCCATAGTCTTCCTAGGTCTTCTGTAGGTCCTTAACCAGGCCCTGGACATACAGGAAGCTGTGCATGCTCATTGGAGTTCACTAACTGGAATGAAGCTTAAGTTAATGGCACAGATATCCAATGTGACGTCTCCCTCTCTGTGTCAGGAATGGGCGTCATCTTCTTCTTTCTTCTTCCTTCTTCCTTCTCCTTCTTCTTCTTGTTTGTTTCCCTGCAAGCTCAGACATAGTCTAAAAGCTACAGATCTAAGCCAGGAGCTCTGGTTGCCAAGCCAAACCTGACCTCTGTGCCCTTTTCTACCTCCTCTTCATAGTATTCATCATCCCTACCCCATCCCTCTGTTCCTAGAGGTACTCAGCATCAAACACCACACACATGCACGCACGCACGCACGCACGCACACACGCACATGTCCTGCTCCCTATCATAGCTCATAGCTGCTTCTTTCCATTTCCAGGGCCAACTTTTATCTTTTTGAGTCAGGGACTCATGTGTCTCTCAGGGGGGCCTGGAACTCACTATGTAGCCAAGGATGACCTTGAACTTCTGATTCTTCTGCCTCTACCTCCTGAGTGATGGAATTACAGACATGTACCACCCTACCCAGTTTATGCAGTGCTGGGCATCAAACCCAGGGCTTTATACATGCTCATCAAACACTCTACCAACTGTGCTCACCCCCCCCCCCCCCGCTCCCATTTTTTACCATACTTTGGGCATAGGTCCCACAAACCGAGTGCTCTACAACCCATTCTTCACTTAGCAGTTGGAGAAGCCTTTCCAAATAAACCAGGCTGGCCACTGCCCAGCTTGGAACTTTCCACAGCTTCCAGGACACTGAGCACAGTGCCACACCTGCTCTGCACAGAGCCTAGAGTAGCTTCATGTGGTCTGGCCCCCTGCCTCCCCCTGCCATGCTGAGCTCCACCACACTCCAGCTCTCCCTCCTGCTTCAGGCTCTCTGCACATGCAGACTCTTCCCCAGATTCTCCCGTGGTTCCTGCCTTTCCACCCTGGAGCTTAAATATCACCAGAAAGGACTTTTTCACCCCCATTTCCTTATTTAAACCACCCATTCCCTGCCTGTCATTTCCTTTCGAGTTTTCAATAGCAACTGGCCATTGCTTTTGTTTTCCTTTGGAGAATTTACTGGGAACATGACTGGCTTCTCTCCCGTGAATAGAGGCCCCGCGGAAGGTGCAATTCTTGAGGCCCTGTCCTACCCCACCGCTGTTCTCCTAGCACTGAACCTGAGAGCAGTCCGAAGCATCGCTTCAATAAATGAATGAAGAGACCTAATGGCAGCTATCCAGATATTACTGGCAAGCGTCTCTGGCTGGAGTGAGTAGATTCATACAGGCAGGTCCCCAGGGAGGGGGGCCTTGATGGCATACGACTGCCCCCCGCCACACAGCCCAAGATATTTGTGGCTCCGTGGCTCTATTGCAAAGAAGAGACAGGGCCTAGTCCTGTCTGCCACAGGCAACTTTCCCCCTCCTGTATGAATTCATGTAGATTTGTGTTTTTAATGGGTGCCAGGGATCAAGCTTGGGTCTTCATGCTCATACAGCAAGCTCATACTGAGCTCTCTTGAAATGAATTTTTGAGAGGCAAATTCTAGGGTTCTACTCCATGATTCCTTTACACACAAACACTGTGACCTCCTCAGGGGGTGGTAGGCAGCACTGTAACGTTCAGGGGTCCGTGGGCGGCCAACATTTCAGTCCTTTCCTCCTGAGCTCTGTCCTGGACCCCATGGCCCCTCACACAGACCTGGCTGGCCTCCCTTGCTCTTGTCTGAAGGTCCTCTGGGTGTATTAATATGACCACTTTCCCCTTATAGCCTAGGCTGAGAGCCTTTAGCAGCCAATGGGAAGAAATGCACCCCACCCCACCTCCCGACCCCAGAATGTCCTGTAGAGAATACCAGGCCCACGCCTGTTTTTCTATCTGGAGTCTTCCATTCCCATCCCAGGATGCAGAAGCAAGCCCACCATGTTCCTTAGAGATGTGCTGCCCTGGAGCCATACATCTGTGGGGGACCAGGGAGGATGTGTCTGCAAGCTGTGTTCCCCAGACGGTGACTCAGCTGCATCCTGGGCACCTGCAAAGCCAGCATCACCCATCTAATGAAGCGGGGCTCCCAAGAGGCCTACAATCTTCACAGAGGAGGAGGAGGAGGAGGACCTAGACTCTCAGACGAGTCTCAATTTCACAGCATCAGGGACGTGCGCACCAACGCGCTGAACCAGAAAACGAGAGTCTGGCAGGAGACGCAGACACACCATGAGCATCGGGGGAGCAGAGATTAGGGCCCTTCAAAATCAATTTTGAATTCAAAGTTTTAAATGTGTTCTCCAGGCACAAAGAGGGGGTCCTCCAGCCTGGCTCAGCCTACCTAGCTGCTGGGCTCTGTTTCTTTCCTGAAGCAACAGAGCACAGCACCTGCAAGCTACTGGGAGAGGGACAGCGGAGGGGGACCGCACCGTGTCACCAGGACCAAAAGGACAGGGAACTTCTGGGTACTGGCTGAAGGAGCACAGAGCTGGGGCTTCCTGCTGACACCCTGGGGGGCTACTACAGCTCTTCCCTGCAGGACTGGGAGGGGCCCAACCATCTGGGAAGCAGTTTGGACGTGGACTTTGAGATAGGATAGCTATGGATTCCAGACCAGCCATGGGCTCTAGGGAGAAGAGCCTTGTTCAAAACAAACTTTCCTTCCAGCAAAATGGGGGAAGATGACCTGGAGTACTGCCCCATGGAAGCAGGGGGGCCTGGAGCATAACCTGGGGGAAGCAGGGGGCCCCTATGTGGCAGTCAGCAGAACAGACTGCTGCTAATAGAGCTACCAGTTGTGCGACATGGTCGCTGTAGCTGGGAGCTGCCTGTTGGTCAAGCTGCTTGTCATCTGCCAGGCCATTCCTGGGGGACCATGAAGTCACAGCAATACAGGGGGCACCAGAAACCTGGGGAGAACAGACTACTCCAGCCAAACCCTGGAGAAGGCTTCCGAGTTTGCAAGAGGAAGGCCTTGGGGGCCTAGATCATTAGTGTGTGCTCCAGGTAACCCCGCTTGGTCCTGTGCTCCTACCTGGGCCCCTCTTAGCCTACAGGCTACCCACAGCTGATGTCTTCTCAGTCTCTGGGGTAGGGAAGCTACCCTCTAACAAGCTTCTGATCCCAGTATCCCTGCAAACAGCCTCCCCACTTCTCCAAAACCTCAGGCCTCTTTACACCACGCTGGTCCTACGGCAGAAACCCCAATGACCATGAAGCACTCAGCAGGGGACAAACAGCCACAGGAACATCAGGGTCTTGTGCATGCTTCACGGGGACCTCCTTATTTAAAAAGGAACACTGGCAACAGAGGCTGGGGTTTCCAGACCATATAGGGGAGGGAAGGCAGGGACCCCCTAGCTTGGGAGTGGGCTGCTGGCTTTGCAAGGAGATTGCAGGGAAGGCCTGGGTAATGCTCCTTTTAGTTACAGCATAAACTGTGGCGATAAAGCGTACCTGGGGAATGTTTAGAGAAAGCACTAATGATTTCTTCCCCAGTGGTTAATAAATTCACTTCTAGATCAATTTGTTCGCGATAGAGCCCGGCGAGCGGAACCCGCGCGGCGGGCACAGCCGAGTGTGTCTTTTTCAGTATAAATGATTTATTACGATGATTAGCGGCACATAAACAATTTAAAATACAACGCTAATTAGTTTGGGGAAGAAAGGAGGGGAAAAGCCACCCTGTCTCTCTCCCCATTATGTTCTACTTCTCTAAGTATGTACTTTTTAATTAAATCCAAATGTCACAATAAATTTAAAGTGTTTTATTACTGCTCGGGCTAACTGAGGCAGTCAGGCAAGCCCCCTCACCTCAGGCATCAGCAGGCAGGGTGTGTGTGGGGGGGTTGAGGATCAGGGGTAACAGAGGGGGATGCTCACATCTCTTCTCCAGGGACTCCTGCAAACCCCTCCAGGTTTCTGGCAGCCCCGGACTGGCAAACACTGGAATCTCCCAGGTGCCTCCAACCTTCCCAGTCAGTGTGAGCAGAATCTCTTCCTTCAAGCTTGTTCTGAGCAGCCTAAAGCCAGTCACTTCTCCATGATGGTCCCATACTGTCTTCTGTCCGCTTCAACCGCGCCGAGTGCTTTACCTAATGTCGTCTGTGGGGGACACTTCCTGTGTGCCCCTTCCAGGGTGGTGCTCTGCTATGGGTACTTCAGCTTCTGGGATGGGGAAATGCAGCACAGAGAGGTGCAGCAATTTCTCCACAGCCTCACAGCTAAAAATAAGGACTTGGGCAGAGTCTTTGTTCTCTCTCTAGCATGTTCTGCTTTGGAGCCTACACCTGACTGTATCTGAGCGCTCATCTCCTGTGCTCAGGAGTAAGCAGAAGCTTCAGGGAGCCTTCCACCAAGATGCATTTGAGGCAGGGATCAGCCAGAGTTTAAGGATTCTGATATGTCTATGTTCAAGTTCTGGTTCTGCCATGGGCTAACAAAGCAGATTGGTTCTTTAGCCTCTCTGAGAGCTTCAGCTTTTGCATCAGCAAAACAGAAGCAGCCATACCCAATTTACAGGGCAAAAGAATATAAACAGTGAAAGCAAGAAGACCATCCTGTAATTCTTCATACACCACACAAGTAGTGATGACTTTTCAAAGCCCTTGAGGCAAGCTGAAAGAGCACTGGCCCTATTTCACAGATCAGAACACTGAGGCTAGAAAGGTTACAGTGAATCCCAGAACCCAGGCAGGGATCAGATGGCAGGTAACCTCACTTCCACAACTCAGACAGCTAGGGAACTTCGTCCATAAATATTCCCAAGCACTGTTCATTTAAGAACAAGTATCTGAGGCTGCAGAGGTGGATTAGTGGTTAAAGCACTGATCACCAGGACCCACATAAAAGCCAGACACAGTGGAGCATGAATCTGTAATCTCTGTCCTCCCACAGGAAGCTGGGAGGTGGAGACAGCAAGATCCCCAGAAGTTTACAGTCCATCTAGCCTGGTGTGACCACAAGAGGCCTTGTCTCAAATAAGGCAAAACCAAGGACCAATAACTCAGGTAGTCCTCTGACCTCCACACATGTGCCATGGCATGCACACATCCCCTCAAAAACACATGTGTACACACACCGACAACAAACATCTCTAAGTACAGAGTTTCCATATGACCCAGCAATTCCACTCCTAAGTATATGTCCAAGAGAAATGAAAACATTGGTCTGAACAACATGTATAAAAGCCAAAAAAGTAGAAATAATCCAAATGTCTATCATTTATCACTTGACAAATGAATAAAAAATATATTTACATACAGTAGAATATTACTGGATCCTGAAAAGGAATGATAAACTCATTGTACTAGTTTATCTTCCCAGGACTCTGTTGAGTGCCAAATCTTAACCACCAGACCACCGGGGACGGGCTTGCTATTGAAGCTTCTATGTCCTTCAAGGATCATGCCGTCTGCAAAGAGGGCATGCCTGTGAGGGAGGGTTCCTTTCAGAATCTTGAATCTGTTCTATATGGGGTGGTGTGACTGTGCATAATGGTATGTGAAGAGTGGCATACTCCCGATGGGCCATCAGAAGTATATAATATGTGCACAATGACTAGGGTGTAGTGGAGACTGGAGAGAGATGGTACCCTTTCCTGGGGCCTGTGAGCCTCGCCTTGGGCAGGGTGTGAAGGTTCAGATCCCAGGCACATGGCCAGGAGGGTAGGAGGCAAGAATGTCCTTGGAGGGGTCAGTCTAAGAGGATCAAAACGATAGCGCATTTTAGCCAGCAAGAGGAGTCAGGCATACAGTGTGGCAGGAAATGGCCACCTGCCCCAGAATCTGGGCTGAGGAATGTGTCAACAGCTCATCTCCACAAAGGCAGGCCAGTCTCCATGCCTCTCACCTATGGAAATTGCCTCAGAAAGGGGTCAGCACAGCTCTGGGATGTCTGAGAAGGATGTCTGGGCTTTCATATCAACCACTATGTGTCCATTTCCTAAGCACGAGGCTGGCTCCTGTGGGTCTCTATGGACTCGTCATGGGGTGCTGGCTCAGGAAACTGCACCTTTGGAAAGCTACTCGATACTTCTCCAGGGAGCCTAGGACTGAGGAGGCGATGTCTAGAAGAGGTGGCCGGTGGTATGGCGGGTACTCATGTCTTTCCAAAGCCACCAACAGTGCCCCAGGGAACACAGTGCCACAGATGACAAAGCACATGACAACACCGTCTCTCATCTGGGATCCATTCAGGGAACGATCAACATGCGCTAGGTCCTAATTTGTTTTTGTTTTGTTTTTTGAGACAGGGTTTCTCTGTAGCGTTTGGAGCCTATCCTAGAACTCCCTCTGTAGACCAGGCTATCCTCAAATTCATAGAAATCCACCTTCCTCTGCCTCCCGAGTGCTGCGATTAAAGGCGTGCACCACCACCACCCATCTCTAGGTCCTAATTTATATGTAAGGAAACCAGAGATCAGAGAAGTTAAGTGGTCTGTCCAGGGTCACCCTGTAGTGGGTAACAGAACAATTCCCTGAGATCTCACAAATGGGGTGGCAGAGCAGGAGTGGGATAAAAGCTATGGTTGCCACCTCCCACCTCCTAAGCCCGCAAGCCACCTCTTCAGTAGTCAGACCTGCATGGGGCTGTTACTTCTTTTAGATTCTACAGACTTCAAATCTGCAGTGTCTGGGCACAGAACCTTGGGGGTTCTTCCCCTTGTGGGTAGACATTAACTGCCTCCTTCCTAACCAAAGCAGACTCCTCTCCACTGTCTCCTCCACAGGCCCAGACTACAAGCTAGGAAGGAAACTAAAGGCAGGTACAAAGGACATGTAAGCTGGAAGAGTGGCCAGTGATCGTCTGCGAGGCTGAAAGAGGACCCCTTTCTCCCACTCTATGCCCCATTCTCTGCTTTTAGTTTTATCCTTTCCAGGCCATTCTCCACAGAGAGGTCCAAATGATCTGATAAAGTGTCTGGAGTCTGCCTAGAGCCCCCAGAGCACTCCCATTGACCTCAAGGCGACTCTTCACTCCTAACCAAGGCACAGCTCACAATGGTGTGGTTCTGTCAGTGATCGCCAGTGTGGTCATCCCAACGACGCTGCGAGCTCCAGTTACAGATCTCTCTGGCCACCCCCTCATTCTCTCTCTGGGACAGTGAGTCCTTATGATCCATGTTGCCCTTCCACTCTGGACCTCCTTCACCTATTAACTCACTACCCATCCAAATGAAGTAACTAAACCCCTGCTATTAGGACCTGGTTCTTGACCCCTGCGTTTTGATAACTATACCAATGGTGGCGGTTTTAATTAGAAAGTAATTCTTAATAAGCTTCATTAGGTCAACTGGATTTCTTGATCAATTTTTCTGTTCAATAGTATGAAGCCACACCCCCTATTTTAATTGTATTGGTATTATTTTCATCAAGATCCATTTTTTTTTAATTTTTCAGTGACTTCTTAGTCTATGACTT